ATCGTAAAAGGGGGGCTGGACGAGAATGAGACCAGAAAAATGAAGAGAATGGGCGTTTGGACGAGCTATACAATGTGTCTCACTGCGTGCGTATGGGTCCTGATGCGAATAACAGACTGCGGTAAGCAAAAATTCATTTGTTCATAAGCACAAGTCAACCAAAAAACCCTAACAAAGTAAAAATAGTCCACCTTTTTCAGCCTCTCGGGGTAAAAAATCGTAATGGGGATCGCAACAGCAAAAAGAATAACAAGAAGAAAAGAATATGAGAAAAACACCGCCTCATCACTCGGCGATCAGCTGATTGTGTGTGGGTCCTAGAACAGATATTGCAATCTGTATCGCCTCCACACTCGCCTGATGTGACATCGATCAAGGGGCGGGATGTCTGGGCGATCCTGTAACGGGTCTCCCACTATGCCTTAGCTGTTGAGTTTTGAGACTCGACAGCGTCCTTCCTGTTACATTTGGGGGCCACTGGGTATTCCCAGGGAGAGATCTCAGAATCCATTTTTATCGTGAACTGTGCCCCTAAGGCATAGATCACGATAATTTTTGGTAATCCAGATTATGATGAAAAATGGAAGATAAGATAGAAAATAATCCAATGAAGGCGAAGGACTTGCGTGAATCGGTGTTTCCGAAGTGAAAAAAGGCTTCGAAAAACCATTAAAAAGGGGGCAGGACGAGAAAGAGACCAGAAAAAGGAAGAAGAGTGGGGCGTTTGGACGAGCTATACAATGTGTCTCACTGCGTGCGTGTGGGTCCTGTTGCGAATAACAGGCTATGGTAAGCGGAAATTCATCAACCTATGAGCTTAAGTAAACAAAAAACCCTAGTAGCAGCAAAAGTAGCTCACCTTTTTCAGCCTCTAGGAGTAGGAAATTAAATAAGTGATCGCGGCAGCAAAAAGAATAATAGAGGAAAAAAGAATGAGAGAAAAACACCGCCTCATCACTCGGCGACCAGCTGATTGTGTGTGGGTCCTAGAACGAGTAGCTGTAACCTGTATTGTCTCGACACCCGTCTGACGTGATGACGTGACATCGATCGAGAGGCGGGAAAGCCAACGACGTTCCCGCCCATTGAATTATCGTGAACTGTGCCTTTAAGACTCGGTATGTAGGTTCTGTGCATGATTTCAAGAGTATAATACCAGAAGAACTAATCGATTGATTGATAGCCGAACGATTTCTCATCTCGATGATCGCACCATAGTGCTGCGAATTTCTCGACCTTGACTTTTAACTCAATCAGTTATTACTGCCATTGGTCATGACCCATCAGCAGTTGGGAGTCGTCGTAAAGAATTAGTACGTCACCAATCCGAGATTGTTGATCCGAGATCTTGCCCTTGATTCGATTACATTGTGACGATCACCCAAGACTCTTATAAACCCACAACAACAGGTATTATATTAGGTTGGAAGGAACGTCTTGCAGCACAATGAAGATCCTTTTCAAATCATTTCTAAAGTATTCCAGGCCAATCAATTTTCGGAAATATATTTACCAACGAGGTCAACAACCTTCTATTATCCTTCGGGTAAATCACTGATGCCTTTTATCCAGGAGTGAGGAAGCTGTGAGTCAAAGAAGTAATTGACTGCCGTCTTCAGATCACATTAAATTACGATTTTTTTCACAACGGTATGCTCAATAAGGCGCCGTGCATGGTAGGTAAAAGGGGCAACACTCAGGGAGTACGGCTGATGAACAACCTGGAACTAATTCGAATCGTAGAACTTTTGACGCGTGTTTAAAGTGGAATTTCGACGTGCGCTTTCCCTCTGTAGAGACCTGATTTACGGGTTTGATCGTCCTTCTCTAACCCCGTTGGCCAAATCTCCTAGTTCACAGGGGTATGCGATAACTGTATCCATCTAGTCTGCGTTTAGCAACTCATAACGGATGGATCCCTCCAACCTCCATTGAATCAAGGACGATGCTTGCGTAACTTCGAAGGCTAGTATCTCCTCCAGTGAAGCCATCCAACCGATTGTTGACCATTGATCGGTGAGCAGTGCCAGCATTGAATAAGCTGCTGATAATTTGAACCGCTACACCCGCGTTTTTCCCTTGGCGTGCTTAGTAGAAGGTGATGGTACGAATCGGGTGTTGTCCATTCATTGACCGTAATGCTGCTAAAGCCCACATGCGTGCCCTTATTTACCCATGTGTTGATTACCTAAGGAATGTCCTACAAGGTTATCACCCTTGCTACCGTGTTCACACTGTTGATACAAATTGCTGAGGCTTCAAATTTTTTGTTGCAGGACTTTCCTCCCAAACTAGTACTAGTCGTCCTTTGATTTTCCTCGGCGTTGTCAAGCGCGAGTGAACTAAATGAGGTTTCAAAATGAGGAAAGGGCAAGTGTAGCTAAAAACAATGGAAAGGAACAGCATAAAAATAGTAGAAACTGCGTCATCATCGATACTACCTGGATGGGGTGATTGTACCGAAAATTCCACAGCAAGCAGGAGCCTGTTCGCTTACCATAATCACCGACTGTGAAATTGAATCCTCCCATTCGCAGCACGCAAATATGCGCACAATATACCACCTCCTTAAACTAACCTTGCCAGCAGGTTGAGTTGTCTCGACGTGCTCTTGATTTCATGAACTGAGTCAGATGTGCAGGTTGATGTGATGGAAATTACTTCACAGCGGCACTGGCAGGCAAAGGGAATGACTACGATATACATCAACACTATTCAGCAGAATAGGAAAAAGAATGAGGGGTTGGCCTCAAAAAAGTGTTTTCAGGTCTTAATGTTCAGAGGCACATATATCTGAATATTTATGCATAAGGTGGAATTGTGATTGACGAATGTTTCTGTATTCATGTATTGTACCGAGCTGCTCTAGAAACCTTTGCTAATAACTCTCCATTGGTCAGCTTTCGGTGTATGCCCTTTTCCAGAACTCGGTTTCGGATAATTCTATAAAACCACTACCAAGTGAAACGTTCTACCGATAACACCTATTTTTCAAGCGGCTGAAGCCTTGTGCGTGGGTCCAGCTTTTTAAGTGCTCGACAGTTACTGGAAAGTCGTTCATAGTATCACCATTTTACAGGAGGGTCATCGTAGACATGATGATAGAAAGGAAGAAACATAGCACTACCTTCACAGCTGATACCAAGATCTACGATCTCATGAGTGACTCACACAGTATTAAATTCTTTAGCGTTAAAAAAAATTGGTCCTATAAAAAATTTAGATATCAAAAATTTAGATATATGTATATAGATATAGATAATTTAGATATATAAGAAAACTGGACTACATAAGATTTGAGATTCTCATTTCGAGCAAGGGTTAACCCATTCAAAGAGTTTCGTGATCAACGAAAAATGATGATAGTGAATAATGAATATAATAACGAATAATAATAATAATGAATAATAATAAAAACAATTATAATAACAATAGTGAATAGTAATAACAACAATAATAATGACTAATAGTAATAATGAGTAATAATAATAATGAATAATAATACGGAAAAATAATAATAATAATGAATAATAATAATGAATAATAATAATGGATAATAATAAAAATAAATAATAATAACGAATAATAGTAATAAAAATAATAATTATTATTAATACTATCATTATTGTTATTATTATATTACTTATTATTACTACCATTACTATTACTATTACTATCACTACTACTATCACTACTACTAAAATCCCCCAAAAAATCGCGTGGAAAAAATCGATTTCGATATTCCCACCAACATTTTGTTTCAAACGACCCACGACCACCGCTATAAATCTGACCAGGCTAAGGACTGCTACTGATAGAGGGCCGAGAAACCCTTTCACGATATTTTCTCTGGAGAAGATTGAGTTCAATTCTTGCAATGCTGTCTTCTGGATGGCCCATCAGACGAATCATCTGGTGAGAGTTCCAACATCCAGACTCGATTCCCCTGATGGACCATCTAGAAGACAGCAATAACATGCTTTTGAATTGGATTAAGCAAGTCCATCTCTGACTACGAACTTGTAACATCGTATCGTTCAAACAGCGCTCAACAAAAACAATGGAAAATGCAACCGATCCATTGCGCTTCTATCGGTTGTGCGCGGGACTACATCCTTCAAAGTACTCAAAAACATAGGTCGCGTTCTTGAATTCAACGCCAAGCAATCTCGTGGTGTCGGTTCACACAGAGAGGAGGGAATTCATAAACGACATTACACTCGTCAGTGCAGACACGTTCGCGTTTGAAAGTTCAGCACTCGTATAAGCAAATAATACCGGCGTCAAAACCAGCATCAGTCTATAATCGCAAAAATGAAGTAAGTTTCGATCCGTATGATCCTATAGAACTACCGGTGTTTTGATAAAAATATTCAAAATAACCGTAACCCTCAATTACTATGTTAACGCCATTAGAATATTGGGCTTAACAGCTTTACACTTACCCCATAAGCATAGTATTAAAGCCCATAGATATGCCGATACAGGACTTCATTTTTGAGAGCGACTAGCCTTACTGCTCAGAGAGAAAAAAAACTTACAAAAAATCACTAAAGGCCCACCACCGATCACTCAAAGTAGCTCCAAACGGGCCAGAGTACATCTTTGGTTAAGTGGACGATACCAGCAGTCAGTCACGCATAGGACAATGAAAACCACATAGTAGCGTAGTATCCATAATGCACGAGATTTCCTCCCCCCCCCCCCTCCCCCCACCGAACCCGAAGGAAATCTGACCATAGGTACAATCTACGGTTCTGAGAACCACCGAGCTTGCCATGGCAATGTCACACCCTTCTCAACATAAAGACAAATTCCGCAGTGTGTGAAGAATTTGAGCTCTAAGTATGCAACATGGCAAAGTATTACGATTCCAACGTCACGGCGTAGTTTTTCAGTTCAGGATACATACAAAACAAACCATTGTGGCACCGATTTGTTTGAAAACATACTGAAATACTTAAGAACACAGCCCACAGTAGGGACTTGACCTTATCAGACTATTTCAGCCAATACTGTGATTGGTTATCACCGATCAAGAATGCCGCTCCTGAGTATTGAGAATTTTTAACAGTCAGCACAGCAGGATTATCGCACTTATGCCTCGAACCTTCCTTCATGAAGTGCGACTGCCTTGAATGGAGTGAGGTATAGGCGGAAAGAAAGCATTCCATAGAAACCAAGATGAAGGTAGAGCAGAAACATGGCAAAAATGAAAAGAAAGGACCGGCTCAAGGAATACCTGCAGAGCGCTGCTTCGACCTTTGTTGGACCTCCGAACTCCAAGTGTTGTGTAGCCAGGTAGCACCGAATTCACGAATGATGTCGCAGCAAAGTGTTGTGGCATTATGGCCGATGGTGGCGAAGCGCTGACACCGTTTGAGAACACCAACGGCAACGACGGTGGAAGCATGGCATGCATTCTGAACAACCTACTGACACATAATTGAAAAAGAGTTGGTAAGGCAGAACGACGCAGTATTAGCTCGTAGGCGTTCTCCTTCGCTATACCACAAATTCTTTTTATTATAGTAAATAGCAAAAAGCTCTATCAGCCATCCCCTACCGACCGCCCACTAGACGAAACAACATGGTGGAAATTTCTAGAACACCACGCTGCCAATTCGCATTTCTCAATTGACTATATTGAAGGCTCAGTAATAGAGTTGAAGCAGTGTGGCATAACGTAAGATGTTCTTTACAAAGATATCAAGCGTCGCGCGTTCGAGGAATGAGAGCAAAGAAATACAAAAAAAATATTCGGCAGATTATAATGAGTACAAATGACTAAATCTGAACAGCATATGGGGTCCCGCCGTGAGTCAGCACTTCAACTGAGACATAAATGATATAGCAGACAAACAGAATGCTGATAAAAATACTGTGTTCCGCCAATGCTATAAATACAACCACACCTATTGGAGGGCATCACAGGCACAGGCACGTGCTTTGTCACTGGCTATTATTGTCGCGAAGATCTCATGGACCATTAGAACAGGGCCAGTAAATTTCCGACTAAACATCCATTCCATGCAGAAGTTGTGGCAGTACTCCATGATGTTCTCCTCTGCGAACTTGTCAACTCATGAGACCTAGAACCCAAACTTCAACATTTCTCCGAAGAGTGGGAGACCTGTATTCACCGGGTTTTTGGAAAAGCTGAGCGTGTTTTCTAGAGAGCGGGCAGTTTCATAAGAAGTCGCTTTAAATAGAAAGGGAGCCGGCCCAAATCAAGGGCAGATGGCCTGCCTTGGCGTAACTGCCTAAGCGATTCCGATTGAACTATGCCACTGCCGTGAGATATAAGGCTTCATAACGAGTGAGTGACATTATGGGTGGCCTCGGCTGCGTTGTGACCCAGTCGGAACTGATACAGCACAGCGTGAAGTGAGTGGAAGCTTTCATATCCTATTTTTCAGAGTAGACAGCAGTATAGGCGGTGTAGAAGCATGCGGCGCACTATCACACACGCATGGGCACGGGTTAGAGTCCTGAATCGATACCCGCCTAGGCCAACCAAGCCCTCCATCCCTCCGGGAACAAAGGATAAAAGCACTGACTTTTACATCGGCTGTTAACCGTAAGTCATTGTATCGGCCACATACACATTCAATATGCCACTACAACTGTGAACGTAAGTCGAATGCGTGGGCGCATCCCTTAAACGGGATTGATTAATGCACAGAATTTTATCGTTATCTATCGTTACATTATATATATATATATATATATATAATTCGCGCCTGTTTGAATGCCTACTACCTGTCGTTATGTCGCGGAAGTCCTGACGATGGAGAAATCGGATCATGTTTAGACTTCGCTCAGCTCTGCCCACATGTGGTGGAACATGCACCGGTATAAGCGAAGCCAAAGGCATATCTTTCTAATTTGGTTCCGGAAAGACAAGATAACGGAAAAATGGGCAATGATCTGGAGTGGGCCAATAAATCAAACGAAAGAGGCCCATGCCCGGTTAACGGAGAGTTACAAAAAAAAAATTCTGTTCAGGATTGATGTGAAATCCAAAAAAAGTGGTTAGAGGCTGTAGAGGCTCTCACGCACGCGTAAGCGTGCTTCACGCACACTTATCCATAATATCAGGGCATTTACTCGAATTGACATCTTTATAGCTCTCGCTGACATGAAGAAAAGAAGAAAAAACGAAAGACCAGGAGTATTTGGCACTACCTTGAGTGAAACTGGGCTGTGCGCGCATTGTAAAGTTGTTGACGAAGTGCTTCAATTTCCTGTCGAAGAGCATCGTTATCACGTTGCAGGCGTTCCTTAGTTCTCTCTGCCTGAAAATTGGGACAAATAGCTGAGATCTCTCATATAAGTGAGCAAGCAGTGTTGGAAGACAGCAAAAAATTCGTCACTAATAAGCGCCATGTTGCAAAGGGCTAGGACGGATGCAAAAAAAACGAAGCGGAGGGTGGCGATCGCAGAATACTCAGAATAGGCTCGCGTTAATTGAGTACATCAAAATTCAATCCCGAGAATGGTGTAAGAGTCGAAAATGCCAATATTCCCCAAGCATTTCACGAAAAGCGGGTCAATTCTCGATCAAAGGGGTGGAGAAGATCATTGTGATAGGAACACCAGTTGTTTAAGCCCTTCATGAACATATCAATGAAGCAACCAACTGCTAAGCTCAATGTTGAATGATGCTCCACACTTTTAGTTCCCAAAGGCCAGGAGAGATTGTTGACCACATCATTGACTTTTGGTCGATATACAGGGCAAAAACCCCGTAAAGCAACAATTTGCGATCTTCGAAACTCACCTGGTCATATATTTTCTTTGTATTCTCAAGTTGCTGGGTAAGGCGATTCTTATCATCAAGCGCTTGCATTCGCTCCTTCAGGTGTAACTGAAGGCGATCGTTCGACTCAGATAAAAGCTGTAGCGAAAACAATTGGGAACTATGGCCACGATGTGGAAAACGTATAGTGATAAACCTTATCCACGGTACTGCTTAAGCGTTGACTGTGCTCTTCATTCATTTTCTCTCTCTGGACCGCTCGTTCCAACTCAGCAGACGACTCCAGCGCTTGCCGTTCTAATCGCTGCACTCGCTCTTCAGCGGATAGCTGCTTCTAAAGACGCGGAACAGTCTAATACTTTAATTCACTAACTTTCTCAAGTCGAGGAAACTATGAGAAATGGAGTAAAGTGACTTCACGGTTACGAAACTTGACCTAAAATGGACGGAAGACCTTCAAAAGAATGAATCAATAACATCAAATCAAGGGCGCCAAAGAACACCAAGACGGTTGCCAGCGCGATGGACAGACTCATCCACGAAAGCTCTGAATGAAAGGAATGTTTTGCATCGTTTTTCGAGCGTAAAGGGTCTACTGCATTACACTGGCTCGCAACATGGACAAATAGAACCGTCACTGGCGCTCGCACGAGAAAATTGTTGAGGAATGGAACGAGAGGTGATACAGGTGAACCGCTGGGGTGCTCATACTAAGGACAAATGCAGCTCCACAAAAATCAAACTAGTCTTCTTTCCCATATTTATCAGATGAGAAACCACAAAGTTAATTGCTCGGCAAATTCTTCTAAGCAGGGTTACAAAGCTTATTTTCATCGTTGAAGACTAGTACGGTTGAGTGGATGATCTTAATTACTCCAGAACTTCTGCCCAGCCGCACCTCATCAAAATTGTAGGATTATTGTTATTGTGCCGGATGCACAGTGTTTGTTTCGATAGCTTAACCGGCAGGGTAGTTCGCCTCCGCGCATATATATATATATATACATACATACATACATACATACATACATACATACATACATACATACATACATACATACATGTGAATTATGCATTGTTGTAAGGATTGACTGCAACGTTCATGAATTGGGGTGAAACCGCTGCATCAGGTCATAATGAGCGAATATTCACAGAATTATGCCTTACAATTTAAAAATGAGGAAAGCATTCTCTCCGAAATCACGCAGTAACCACGCTCGAATTGATTAGTCGCTTACCAAAGAGATGCTTCTTCGACCCTAATTGATTCGTAAATCAGGAACAATGATTCGAAAACCAGTGTTCGTACGCCTTACCTTGGACCAGTCGGATCGCCCTTCTGACGCCCGCCTCTCCTCCACTCGTTCAAATTTGACCCACCGCATCATCTAAGTGTTAGAGCCCTGACCGAAGAGAACAAGAGCTACTGATTTCTAGCAATAACGCACATACCGGAACACTTCGTAAGTGGCTTGTCCGCCAGGGAGAAGTCTTGCTCAAGCCCTGTGTGCTCAAATAACATGGTCCATTCCCCTCTTTTTCCAACTTCACTGCTTGTTTCCACTCAAGTTACGCTCATTTAAGGCATGGCCGCTCCCTCCATAAGCACTACGCTCCGCGGGCGCGATCCAGTTCCGTCACTTCCCCGCTACCTATCAACGTGTCCTGCCACTGTACTTGTGCCAAATCTTAGCGCCCTAGGTCCAACTTAAAATTTTTTCGGATGCCCGGCCGTTAATGGCGGAGTCAGGTGGTGCAGTTATCCATCAACATTCTAGTCGTACAATCTGTCCACCAAATTTGGAGGTACCTGGTTCAATTTGACTATTTTCACGCACCCTCCCCTGTGAGCGGATTCGGGTGCTTTCATATACGATCAGTGCCCCCATCCTGCCATGTACTCCGTTCGAACTTGGACTCTTTATGTCCAGGTAAACAGGAGCTATGATTTCAGTCGAGCACTTATTTCGCGCACACTCCGCCCCCTGTGGACGGACTCAAGTCGTGCCACCGCCCGTCAGCATTCCCATATTTCCGCCTGTACCCTTACCAACTTTGAGCTCCATAGGCCTTGAGGAACTGGAGTTACAATTCCCCTTCACTTACGAATTTTTTGCGCAAAATATTTATTTATGCATAGTCCGGTCGTGCCACTAACCATAAGTGTTTCATTCTGTCTTCTGTACTCCTACAGAATTCGAATGCCTCAGATCCATTGGGACAGGGGTTATGAACATCCGGTCGTACAAACTCGTGTTACCTGCCATCAGCATTCCCGTATAGTACCGCCTGTACATCTAGCGAATCTGTACGATCCAAGTCCAACTTGACGAATTTCGCGCCCGCCCCACTCCTTTGGGGAAAACCTAGTTTTGCCACCTGCCATCAGTGTTTCCGTCCTGCTGCCCGCACTCTTACTGAATTTGAACGCTCTAGGTCTACGGAAATAGTTATGAGTTTCCAGACAAAGATATACTGACACACACAATCACACCTCTACATACGGGCCTATCATCACTCCTTCGTTTCTCTCAAAAAAAGTAATGAGTAGCAGCCAAATATCGAGCACTACAAATCGAATTTGGTCAATATCGGTTGCCATTATTGATCGCTGCGTTTACACCTATATTCCTCAGGCATCTCTTCAACTTCCTCGGAGTTGAACATGATACCGCTCAAGGGAACAAATTGATCATTGATCGGTATTCACAAAAAGATAAGTATAGCAAGTCGGTATATCGGCTAACATACCCACAGCGTAAATCCTACCACACGTAAATACCCCATTTCTGAAGGGAATAAGGCTGTGAATTGACGGTGCTTAATCTGGAAAGCTTCTGAACAGGATTGCTGGCTTCCGACTCTACACTCTCTATGTAGTCCAGTCCTGCCCCCTGTTTCCCTTCTAAATTCGAACGAACCAGCTCTAAAGGAACAATTTTCGCCCCCAGTACGCGGAATCTACCCGACTCGTGCCATTAGTAACGGCAACGTGCCGCCTGCGCCCCTTCCAAATTTGAACACTAAAGTAGCGATTCGTACATGCACTACCCCTATTGAGCTGACTCGAGTTCTGTCACCTACTCTCAGGGTTCCCATCCTGCCGCCTATGCTTCCACCGAATTTGAACCCTTTAGGTACGCGGTAACAGGAATTATCTACTTTGAAACCAATTATCGCGCGCGCCCGCCGTGTAAGGAGCCTAGCTCAGAACATGTGTTCCTGAGTAGTCTTCCCATTTTCCACTTGTTTCAATATGGATATCTCTTCCACTTCAATTTCAGGTAGGCACCATACAAGGTTCCGATGGAGAAGTCAAAGAGAAAGAGAGCGACAGGCGCACGTACATTTATGGTTTATATATAAATAAATAGCCGTTAAATACTATTCAAGGACTTTTTCTATCAACTCTATCCACATTTACCGTGTTCTCGAACAATCAAGAACAGAGATTGAGTTACCAACTTTAGCCCCTCTCACCATGGGGCAAACCCTGCCAACTTTGAAGACTTGGCCACATTTCTTCACTGGCCTCCTCCGCCCCTTTCTCCGAGTTCTAAAACGTTTTTGTGTAGAGTTGGGAATTTTTGATATCACCACCGCCCATTCCACTGAGAACTTTGCCTGTTCCGGAGATTCGGCTACATTTGATCGGTGGCCCTCGATCATTATTTTCTTCTATGCTCTAGAATCTTTTTGAAGAGAACAATAAACTTTCGATCTTGGCCTCGCTCACCTCTGTGCAGGATCCATTTTCAGGATTCGAACAAATTCTTTCTGTGACCCTCAACAACTTTTTTCTTGCACTCAAAAACGTTTTTGGAAAGAGCTATGAAGTTTTGATCGCAGCCCCGCCACCTCTGTGAAAATCTAGCCCACTTTCAGGATTAGCACATATCTCTTCTATAACCTCCACCAACTTTTCCCCGCACCGTAAAACGTTTTTAAACAAAGTTATGAAGTATCGATCTTAGCCCCGCTCACCTCAGAGCAACACCGCCCACTTTACATATTCAACCACACTTCTTCTATAACCGTCAACCATTTTTTTCCCGCTTTGTAAAACGTTTTAAAAAGAGTAATGAACTTTCGATCTTAGCCCCGCCCACCTCAGACCAAAACCCGACCACTTTACATATTCAACCACATTCCTTCTATTACCTCCAACAACTTTTCCCGCGCTGTAAAACGTTTTCGATCAGAGTTATGAACTTTTGTTCTCAGCCCCGCATCTCAGGGCGAACCCCACCCACTTTGGAAATTTGACCTCATTTCTCCGTTAGCCTCTGACCACCTTTTTTCCACATTCTATAATAGAATGTTTTTTAACGAAGATATACATAGTTTGGAAACTCTTCTATTTGAATGCACGCCCCGCCCACAGTGGGTGGAGTTTCGCTTTGAGCAGCACCCATACCGGTACAAGTCCCGCCCCCCTCCATGGGCGGGGTTCTGCTGGGCTCATATGTGCTTTATTAGTCTTGCCTTAGGCTCACGAATTCCGGACTTGACCCGATCTCTACAGTTGCTTCTTCAGATGATACCGAAATTTGCGACGACAAACAGACAAACAAACAGACACACCAAGCTTGTGGTTTATATATATACCAGGCAGCTACGCAAGCTATGGCGTGCGCTAGGGGCTCTAGCCATGAAGGGACGGAGCCACATAAGCTTCTGATTTTCATTATAGACCTTTATCATCTCAGCCTCTTCCCTGAAACTTCTGTAGCGGCCATTTTTTTTTTCGGGATGTGAAACGCGGCTGTGTATGGCCATGAACACTAACGTCGAAAGGGAAGTCTCTGCAGGGTATGCACCTGTGTGGCCGGGGTTACTGTAGAATTTATTTTATGAGGTCTGAAGCTAATGTAGTGCATTGCTATTGTGTAGAAGGGACTACTGTGTGTGGAACCATGGATACTGACTTTTAGAAATTTTTTAGCCTTGAATTCTTTTGAAAGAGTTAAGTGGTATCCCCTAGTTGGACATCTATGTGGTCATCGTTAGTGTGAAGGACAGATGTACGCATTTTTGATCTCAGCCCCGCCCCCCTCCTTGCAAACCCCACCGCTTCATACTTTGAGCCACATTACTTTCATTATATTACCTCCAGACACCTTTTACCCTCGTTCTGAAACACGTCTGAAGAGACTTAGTAATTCTGATGAAGCCCACTTCAGTGGGAATCCCGCCCACTTGTGGAATCTGGCCACATTTGTTCTACTACATCTTACCACTTTTCACGCATTCCACAACGTTTCTGCATAGAGTTAAAAATTTTTGTCTAAGCCCCGCCCACTTTATTGCCAACCACGCCAACTTCTGGGCCTAGACCACATTTGTTCTTTTACACCTTATCACCTTTTTGCCGCATCTCAGGAAGTTTCTGAAGAGTTATAAATTTTTAATCCAAGCCCCGCTCAATTTAGTGCCAGCCCCTCCCACTTCTGGGATTTGTCTACATTTGTTCTTTTACACCTTAACACCTTTTTGCCGCATCCCAGGAAGTTTCTGAATAGAGTTATAAATTTTTAATCCAAGCCCCGCCCACTTCTGGGATTTGACCACATTTGTTCTTTTACACCTTGACACCTTTTTGATGCATTCCAGAATGTTCCTGAATGGAGTTATGAATTTTTCTCTAAGCTCCGCCCACTTCAGCACCAACTCGGCCCACTTCGAGGATTTGGCCACATTTGTACCATTACCTCCAACCCCTTTTTTCCCGCACTCTAGAAAGTTTCCAAGCAAAGGTGCATTCATTCTTGAAAAGTGGCTTTCATCTCAACGCACGCCCCGCCCATCGTGGGCGGGGCTTCGCTAAGCCTACGCATGCCCAGCACGCATAAGGTCCTGCTCACCCTTCTTATTTTTTCCTAGCCTCTGCACCTTAATTGAATCGAGTTTTGAATACATCTGAAAAGTACCGCCCATTTTGAGACAGCTCCGCCCATAGCATGTGGGTCTCCTCGGCCTGGTTTTTGGACCCAATCCTCACCTTTGAACATTTTTCCCCGGTGTCTGGACTTTTCCAAGCAAAAATAGGATGTTTGGTGCCGAAATGGACGGTTTTCATGGCACCGTCGCAAAAATAGGATGTTTGGTGCCGGTATGGACGGTGTTTATGGCACCGTCCATTCCGGCACCAAAGACTGCCCCGCCCCTCGTGGGCGTGGCTCCGCAGAGCTCATATGTGCTCTGTTAATCTTGTCTCAGGCTCCACCTATTCCATACTTGTCCCGATCTCTCCAGGCGATTCTTCAGACGATACCGTATTTTGTGACGAACAAACAAACAAACAAACAGACAAACAGACAAACAGACACACCAAACTTGTGGTTTATATATAGTATATATATACGGTTTATAAATTATATATATATGG